CAGTGAGGTAAAGAAACTTCCCTGAAGGGTCACTCTTGATCCGAAACTGTGTCTGGGTTCACGCTGCAGGTGCGACCCAGTGCTCTCAACCATCCCATGAACTTCTTTTCCGACTTCACCTATCGTCAGCCACAACATAAATACGGGTCCCCAAGTCAGCGATGGAGGTCCGCAGTCCAGTCATTTCCTGCTCCAAAGTAGCCATCTGAGTGCTCCGGCGTGGTTGTGATGATCCTGCCTCGTCCCTTCTAGGAGGGGCTGTAATCTCAGTAGCTTCAGTAGCATCAAAATCATCCTCAGACTCATCAGACAAGTCATCATTGCGTCGTACCGGCTCTCTTCCCTCTTGCCCAATTTTTCTCGCCCGGAAAGGGGTTTTTATAGGTAATTTCCCATCAACTCGGGAGTTCTCAGGAACCTTAGCAAGGCGGCATAGACGGGTGACAAGCGAAGGGAAGTAGTGGCCTTTGCTTAGTTCAGGCGATCGGATGAATATTTCTTCAGAGAGGACTTGGGCGACATAAAACCCTTGGTGAGTCATGAAGCAGTAGACCATAGCGGCCCGTGGCCCATTTATATCGATGGTATTGCTGGATGGTAGCAACCGAGTGGTGATGACAGTGAGCCAACATTTGGCCTCCCAAGTAAGAGACTTAGAGTGTAGAGTCGTCGGTTGTGCTTCCCATTTGGGCTGTCTGCCAAACCATCACCCACCAACAACACCATTCCACACAGTCAAAATACAGCCCCTTCACCAAACATATGCTAAAAACGAAATTACACTAAAAAGAAGAAGAAAAACTAAACAAAACAAAATCCTATCACTAACACTACATTAGAACAACACTAACTAGCATAATACAACAAAAAATAGAAGGAAAAGAGAGGGAGGTCGGAATCATACCTTGGGGGGAAGAAGATGAGGGGTGTTGTGAAGGAGGAAGAAGAAGAAGAGAGTATGGAGGGGAGGGTTAGGGTTTAGAGAGAGAGAGGGAATTAGGGATTTTAGGGGGGAGGGGATCATTTATTTTGATTTAGGGAAGGGTTATGTTGTGTTTTAAAATTAAAAGAAGAGTGGAGAAAAAGAACAAAACGAAAAAAAATAAAAATAAAATAAAAAAACCAGCAAACATGGTACGCCTTCCGCGATCGACGTCGCGGTCTGAGACAGTGTCTCCCGCAATCGTCACCGTGGTTCGAGCCGCGGCCGCGGTGAAATATTAAACCTTCAGTGATTTCCGCGGTCCTCGCTGCGGACCGCACCGCGGCCGCGGTGAATTTTGTCGACCAGCAGTGTCTCCCGCAGTCCTGGTAGCGGCTGGCAATTTTTTTTTGTCTTCTAAACACGAAGTTACATACTACACTTAAAATACATTCGTGGGTTGCCTCCCATGCAGCGCCTAATTTAACGTCGCGGCATGACGCAAGTAGTTGAGCCTTCACTCCTCATTCGTGTAATGGGGTTCTTTCAAATTGATCATCACTGTATCCCATTTTTCTTCAGTTATTCCAAGGTAATGTTTCAACCTTTGCCCATTTACTGAGAACTTGTTTGTCCCATCTTCTGACTCAATCTCAACAGCTCCACTTGTAAACATTTGCACCGCTCTAAATGGCCCTGACCATCGGGACTTTAACTTACCTGAAAACAATCTCAGCCTTGAATTATACAATAATACCTTGTCACCGGGTTTGAAATTTCTGTCCACAATGTGCTTGTCATGCATCTTCTTCATTCTTTCCTTGTAGAGCCTCATGCTTTCAAAGGCTTGATATCTAAATTCTTCCAGCTCATGCAACTCTGTCAGTCGATTTTGTCCAGCTGCTTCGGGATCCATGTTCAATTATTTCAGTGCCCACCAAGCTCGATGTTCTAGCTCCACAGGCAGGTGACAGGCCTTCCCAAATACCAACTTGTATGGTGACATACCTATTGGTGTTTTGAACGCAGTTCTATAGGCCCAGAGTGCGTCATCAAGCTTCTTTGCCCAATCAATTCGTGTGGCATTCACTGTCTTGGTTAGTAGACTTTTTATCTCCCTATTGGACACTTCAACCTGCCCACTGGTTTGCGGATGGTAAGGGGTAGCCACCTTGTGGTGTACATCATACTTTGTAAGCAATTTCTCGAAGGCTCTGTTACAGAAGTGAGTACCTCCATCACTGATGATCGCTCTTGGTATCCTAAATCGGGTGAATATGTTCTTTTTCACAAAACCTATCACCACTCTTGCATCATTAGTGGTCAACGCTGCAGCTTCCAACCATTTAGACACGTAATCTACAACAACAAGTATGTACTTATTGCCAAATGAGCTAACGAAGGGGCCCATGAAGTCAATCCCCCAAACATCAAACACCTCTACCTCTTGAATAGGGTTCATGGGCATCTCATGGCGACAGGAAATGTTCCCGGTTCACTGACATTCATCGCAGCCCTTCACCTATAGGTGTGCATCTCTAAACATTGTTGGCCAAAAGAACTCGGCCTCTAGCACTTTCGCAGTTGTCCTGGCTCCTCCAAAATGTCCTCCATATGCTGATGCGTGACAAGCCTGCAAAATAGAAGATTGTTATATCTCGGGGACACACCTCCAAATCATATTATCAATATAGATTCTAAATAAATAAGGCTCGTCCCAATAATACATGCGGAAATCACGATAAAACTTTTTTCTTTTGGACAGATGAAAGGTCATAAGGAACAATACCGCAGGCCAGGTAGTTTGCAAAATCTGCATACCATGGCGTATCCTCAAGATTGGCTACAAGCAGCTGCTCGTCTGGAAAGGTTTCCAGGATCTCTTCGACCTCGACTGATTTTTCAACTCCTTCAAGTCGCGATAGGTGATCAGCGACTTGATTTTCTGTGCCCTTATGGTCACGAATTTTGAGGTCGAATTCTTGCAACAATAGCACCCAACGAATCAGGCGTGGCTTAGACTCCTTTTTCTCAATTAGGTACCTGAGAGCTGCATGGTCAGTATATACAATCACCTTGGAACCAATCAGATATGATCAGAACTTGTCAAAAGCAAACACCACCGCCAACATCTCCTTCTCCATCACTGTGTAATTGAGCTGTGCACCGCTTAGCGTTCTGCTTGTCTAGTAAATCGGGTGCATCAGCTTATCTTTTCGCTGCCCCAAGACCGCTCATATAGCATAGTCGCTGGCATCACACATAAGCTCAAATGGTTGCTCCCAATTGGGTGCAACAATGATGGGTGCAGTTATTAACCTCTTCTTCAGTTCCTCAAATTCCAACCTGCAATCATTAGAAAACACAAAGGGCTGATCCTTTTCAAGGAGTTTGCATAATGGGTTAGCAATTTTGGAAAAATCTTTTATGAAATGCTGGTAGAACCCAGCGTGTCCAAGAAAGCTTCTCACCGCCTTGACTGACGTGGGCGGTGGTAGCTTTTCAATCACGTCAACCTTAGCATGGTCGATCTCAATTCCTTTACTGGACACTCGATGCCCCAGAACTATACCTTCTTGTACCATAAAATGGCACTTCTCCCAGTTTAGCACTAAGTTTGTCTCCACACATCTTTTAAGCACTCTCCTTAAGTTGTGAATACAGTCTTCGAATGAATCTCCCACCACGGAGAAATCATCCATAAAGACCTCCATAATATCCTTCACCATGTCTGTGAAGATGGCTAACATGCACCGTTGAAAAGTTGCGGGTGCATTGAAAAGCCCAAAAGGCATTCTCCGAAAGGAAAAGATGTCATACGGACAGGTGAAGGATGTTTTCTCTCTATCTTCGGGGGCTATTGATATCTGATTGTACCCCGAATATCCATCCAAGAAACAGAAGTGCGATCGCCCAGCCAGCCTGTCCAACGTTTGGTCAATGAAAGGTAAGGGGAAATGGTCCTTCCGGGTGGTTGTGTTCAATTTCCTGTAATCCATGCAAATACGCCACCCTGTGACTGTACGAGTTGAGATCAACTCATTGTTCTCATTTTTTACAACAGTCATTCCCCCCTTTTTCGGCAGACATTGGACAGGGCTGACCCAATTACTATCAGAGATGGGGAAGATGATTCCCGCATCTAACCATTTGATCACTTCTTTCTTTACAACCTCTTTCATGTTTGGGTTCAGCCTTCGCTGGTGTTCCCTGGAAGGTCTGTGCCCCTTCTCCAAGAGAATCTTATGCATATAGAAGGCTGGACTGATACCCTTTTTGTCTGCCATGGTCCAACCAATGGCAGTCTTGTTTTCCTGCAATACCTGTACGAGCCATTCTACCTGCACATCCAACAAACTGGATGATATAATAACAGGCAAGGTCGAATCAGGGCCTAAGAACACATACCTGAGGTGATCTGGGAGTGGCTTCAGTTCCAACTGGGGTGGTTCCTCTATTGATGGCTTTGCTGGAGGAGTGGCCCTTTTTTCTAGCTCAAGGGACTCGAACTGAGGTTTCCTTGACCAAAATCCTCGGCCTTCTAGTGCCATGACCCATTCAGCTAACCCTTCACCGTCCATTTCTTCTAAATTCGTCAGATATGCCTCCAATGGATCTTTTACAGTTAGGGTCATATCATCTTCTTGCAGAATTACATCCACTGTCTCCTCTAAAGAGCAATTAGCATATTCACCGGGTCACCTCATAGATTGCTGAACATTGAATATGACTTCTTCATCATTCAATCTCATTTTTAATTCCTCAGTCTCACAGTCGATCAGTGCTCTCCCAGTGGCTAAAAATGGTCTCCCTAAAATAAGGGGTATCTCCTCATCCACCTGACAATCCAGGATAACAAAGTCTGTAGGGAACACGAACTTCTCCACTTGCACCAACACATCATCAAGAATACCAGTGGGCCTCTTCACTGTGCGGTCAGCTAGCTGTAGCAGCATCAAAGTTGGCCTAGCTATGCCAATGCCCAGTTTGGTGTACACAGCTAGCGGCATCAGATTTATGTTGGCTCCCAAATCACACAACGCCTTTGCAAAGGCATAACTTCCAATTGTGTATGGAATAGTGAAGCTACCTGGGTCCGACATCTTTTGAGCCATCGGTTTTGCCACCACTGTGCTGCAGGTATGTGTTAGAGTTACAGTGGATAGATCCTGAAAATCAAACTTCCGTGACATTAGATCTTTCATCATCTTGGCATAACCGGGCATCTCCCTCAAGGCATCCATCAAAGGAATATTCAACTGAATTTGACGCAGCATCTCCATGAACTTCTTGTATTGGTCTGCCTTCTTTTGTTTGACCAGTCTCTGAGGAAAGGGTACAGGTATCACCCTTTGTGCATTGCTTGCTAGCTTCTCTCTGTTAGAATTTTCTGGCACAAGAGGTGCCACCTGTTCTGCAACTTGCTCATTCATATTTTCTTTGCCTTTTTTCTCCTAACTCTGCTCAACCACCACTTCAGTAAGTTCTGTTGGTTCCTCTACCTCTAATTGAACTGGAGTGGATGGTGTAGTATCTTTGTTGGCTTGTGCAATTTCCTGCTCTCTATCTAAATCTCTCTCATTTCGGAGACTTACTGTCACCAGCTGATTCGGGTTTTAGTCCTTGGGGTTTATGTTTGTGTATACAGGCAAAGTTCCCTGAGGACGGTTGTTCAAAGCCATGGACAGCTGACCCAACTACGTTTCAATATTCTTTATGGGTAAATCATACACTGTCAATTTTTCCTGCTCTTTATTATTTGTCCCAATGAGTTGCTGAAGCATACCCATGATTTCCACCATGTTGTTATCTTGCTGCTGAGGGGGTGGTTGGTATGTCAATTGTTGCCGATTTTGCTTGGATAGCCCTATGGTTTCTGATATGGTACTGGCACCAATTGGTTTTGAGGGTGCATACCCCCAGGCTGCTGCATATTAGGCATGTACTGCTAATTTTGTTGCGGTCTCCACTGTTGTGCTCCTTGCCTCTGACCCTCATAGTTGTTGACATAATTCATATCTTCCCTTGCCCCTTGATTTTCACCTTCCCCGCTCCATGAACACACATAAGACTGATTAATACAAGGTGTACACAGTCCCTCATTTGTTGTATCAATAATGTGCACCTGTTTTGTACCCATCTCATCAATCTTCTTTGTCAATATGCTCATCTGGGTCATGAGTGTGGCCATGTTCTCTGCATGTGAATTATTTGGGTCAAGAGGAACTGAATGCACTATGGGTACCAGTGTTGTACCTCTAGTCATCCACCCCGAATTTTGTGACATCTTATCAAGAAGGATTTTGCACTTAGTGAATGTTTTACTTAAAAATGCACCTCCAACTGAAGCATCCACTGTTGATACTCAATTTTTCCCTAAGTATTTTTTACACTCAAAATACTTTCAAAATAACATATATGTGCATACATAAGCATGCCCAAGTATTTTGGTATTTTTCCCAAATTTTTAAAGATTTTCAAAACCTATTTATTGTCTATTTTAGCATTGCAAAATCCAACAATTATTCCCAAAATTATCATTTTGGTGAATAATTTATTTATTTCTCATATTTACACCAAAATATAATTAAGGTGATTTTTGCATATTTTTACAAATTTATTTGGTATTTTTTAAAGCTAATTTGCATATAATTGTAATTATAGCTCATGTTTCGATTAATGGTATTTTTATAATTGCAAAATTAGTTCCAGTATTTTTGTATTGCTAATGGTTTTAGTACTTTTAATTTTCTTTTAAAATCATTTCCATTATTTTTATAAAATTAAGAGAGAGAAATTGGCTATTTAATACCTAACCTATTATTATTGCAATTTTAGCCCCAATTGTAACCCAACCCATCAGATTTTTAATTAACCCAATACCCAATCCAAATCCGCCCAGCCCAATCTCCGAATAACTCGGACCAGCTTCGATTAATCTGAGCCGTTGATCAAATGAGATCAACGACCCAGATTTCGTTTCCTTAATTAAATTCTAACTACCCCCCTGACCCCTCATTTCATCGAGACCGGTCTCTCTCTACTTGGTCTCTTCCTCTGCTCCTTATCTCTAGAACCTTCTGGTTCTTCTCTGATGGCCTTCACCATCTATCCGGCCACCTCCAGCCTCACCTCTTTCGACCACCAGCCGCCGTGAAACCTTATCTCGCTGATTCCCTCTATCCTGGAGACCCCATGAGCCTCCACCATACGAGATGGTCACTGAAAGCTTTGTCTGATTTGTCTTCGGCCTTTCTCCGATGGGTTTTGGTCCGATGGTGCTATGAACACCATTATTGCTGAGTTTCGCAGCGAGATTTCTCCTACTTCTTACTGGTTTCTTATGAAACCCTAATCTCTACCCAGACCTCTTAAATCTCTGTATTTTTTAAACGATTTTAACTCACACCTTTATGTTTTACACTACTCTCTACTCGATCTTTACGATTGCTCAAGTTTTAAACATTTTGTTCCCTTTTTTTCAAACTAGGGTTTCTGAACCCCTTTTCGAAATCACTTTATCTTCTGATTTTGAGTACTATATATTTGTGTTTATATTATTTGCTTGATTGTGTGATCTTATGGGTTATTCTCCGAGTTCTATGCTTTAATTTTGTTGTTAGGATTCCAACCTTCTACTGTTTCTGTGATTTCTTGCTTAGGGTTCTCTGATTTTCGTGCCTATTATGTTTAATATGTCTAATTATTCATTGTTTACCAAATATTCTGCTGATTCTGTGCATCTCTTCGAATCCCTGATTTTGTATATGTTTTCCTTAGAAGTTTTTCACTGATTTTGAATCACTTCCTTTTTTGTGAAATGCTTTCCTTACTTAGAACTAATTCCTTATGATTTTAGTCTCATCCGTGATTCTTTGACTAATTTTCAGAGTTAATTTATATTTTTACCATATTTATGCGCATAAACATACTTTCAAATATTCAGTATATATTTTCCTTACTTGAAATAATACGTATTTGGCCCTTATTACATGTTACATGCTTTACTACTCCTATTATGGTAGATTCAGTAGTCTAAGTGATTCTTTCCTTATCTGATATAACTTGTACCCATTCGAATAATGACTCCCTAATTAAAAGGAGTTTGGTCCTGTGATTTATTCCAATTGGTATTGCTTCTATAATTGTGTACTTGTTACCATATTCTTTATTTGTTTTCAAAACTATAAATACTCTACCCTTTGTTTAGCATAACAGACGAACAACCACACTGTTCTGAACTCTCTCATACACACACAAGCATACTCACTATTCTCTCTTACTTTCCTACACATTCTCGCTCGCTTCTCTTATTGACTACTGGTTACCTAGTCGGCTAAAAGCCAAGACTGAGTAACTTGTTACTCTACTGTTTTATTGCTCTATACATTGCTTCTCTCTTGGTCTGCACACTACTGCTCTATTATACCACTCTTGACTGGTATGTCTGCTATTTGATTTACAGCTTCCAAAACAACCATGTTTTTATGCATATTGCACTTTCTCTTATTTCTTTTATGCTTCTACCTATGGTTCTGCTATTTTCATTGCAATTAGCGTGCCTCTTTGCTAGTTCATTGATGTGATTACCTTTTCCTTAATTCAGCATGTCTACTGCTTCCCTTACTTGTTTAATTTAGTTCTTCCTTACCCCCTAACCCCGGTACATTATTAGCATGTATTCACGACCCTTCCTAGATACTAAATAATCCTGAACCTCTTCCATGAGTACTTTGGGATGAAATGTGTTGNTTCCGAAATGTTTTCTCTGATGTCTACGTATGTGCAACTATGCTCTTACATGTGAACTACTTGTCCCCATTTCCCCTTTCCCCTGTTTGTGTTTGCTTCCCTGAACTATGTGTGATATTATAGTTCTGAGATTGTCCTACTCACCTTCTTACAAAACTGTCACACTCTTCTATTGTTTTTCTTTCAAGAACTGATTCTATATGGATCATTTTTAAACTGTTTTTTTTTCTTAACTCAATTTCCTTACAACTATATCACGCACTCTCACTACTCTTAGAGATTAGGTTCTACCCCCTTCGTGTAAGCATTGCTTTGAGTACCTCTGAGTACTCACTGAACTTTGATGCACAATGCTGGTAATTCCACACTGCACTTGTTTAACATTTTTTGGTAAATGTTTGGGTGTTGGTATTGGCCAGGGACCCAATGGGGCCTTAGGGAGCTTTGTCGCACCCAGACCATAGCAAAGGCTGTGAAACTCGAAAGGAGTGAGGTTGGAAGATTGGGCCTGGCTGATGGCTCCCTATAGAATAACTTCTTATTTTTTATTCTTTATTACTGTAATTCGGCTATCCTTGGTTTGCAATAATTTGTAAACGAATGATTGGGGTCGAATAGTGAATATGGGAGGGGTTATGCATGCTTAGTTAAAGTAATGGGTAGAAAACATGCTTATAGGACTTTATTTACCTACTTACGCAATAGATATCATGTATAGGACATGCATCTCACATATTAGAAATCTTATTCTATGTTCTTTACTTTCAGCCTGTTGTTATATTCATTTTGTAACTATGATCAGTTAATAATAGGCAAATAACTGTTATAATGGCTACTGCTGCATTCTCATAATCATTAGCATTTAGAAATCATGTTTAGGAACTCCTATGTGCATTAGACATCCTGTTGTATAGGGTTTTATGCTTGTCTGAGTTGCAATTGTGAAACACCTCACCAGTATGTTTAATTTAATAATACAAGTATGGTTAATTGTTTATTTATCCCTCTTACAACTAAAAAATCGATATGCATGTTCACCCCCTTTAAGGTAATTAGGCAACACATACGACGCCTAGGCAAACTTTAGGCTTAATAAGAATCGATTAATCATGTTTTACCGGTTTAAGACCAATCAGCCTCTTATAATTTTGAACTCTGCTGCTCCCATTCTTGCTGAAGTTCACTCTGTTTTTTTTAAAAACTCCCGCTCTATCTGGAAACAAAATCTTGAAATTGTGCATCTATTTACTCTCACTGATTTTCTGGTTCTTGTTCTATTATGTTTTCAAACTACTAGGTTACCATTCTCTGCCCAGAATCGTGCTATTTTGAATACTTGTCCAGCACCTCGTTAAGCTACTGTCACTACTTGATTTTCAAAAACCATGCTTTAACAATTTTTTTTTATCTGTCGCTAAACTCAACTGCTGTTATCTATGCCTATTTTCTGAAAAATCCTATCTTTTAGACCCAAAATGTGTTTGAGACGTGTTGATTACATGTTTACTTGTGGAGGGATCTGTGAGCTTTTTATTTGCCTTTGTGTTCCCCTTATGTGCGGTCCTATTTGTTATGTATGTCGCTTAGCATTTTATCCTTTAAACCTGAGGGTTAGCCTACTCCCTACCCTGTAGGATTAGTAGTCTCAATGCCTCTGAGACTGATAGGATTGGGGCGGGTA